TGGCTCGTGCCCGCTGAGAATGATGCCGGTACACAGGTACCAGAGCCACTCACCTGCTGCCACAGGAGAGGCTCGCCATATTTCATTGCGGATACCGTCGGGCCCCGGTGCCTTGCCTTTGGCCTGCCTACGACAAGCCGCCTCCATCTCGGTGAGAGAGGGCAACACAGAGGCACATAGTGAGCTCGGTTGCGACATCCAGGCTTCAAGTGTGGCTTGCAATTGTTGAGGAGTGATTTTCTGCCCGCCCTCCTGAGCGCGAAACTGGTCTTCCAGCTCGGCCTCAATCTGGTAACCGCCCGCCGAGTAGACAGCGCGCCTTTCTGCCATCCGCCTAGAAGCCCAGCGGAGCTTCTGGATCGCGAGAATGGGTTTGCCACTAGAGTGCCATTCGTCTGTGGCGGCGCGGGTGAGGGCGATGAAGTGTGCCACTTTATCCTTACGGGCTAAGTTGTGCGCCCGTTGTGCCTGGCGGAGGACTTGCAGGTCAAGGGAGGAACGCCAAAGACGGGCTGTGCGCAGTGCTTGCAGAGCCTGTGCAAAACCCTCCAGCCGCGTGCCACCGGCCCACGTTCGAAAACAACAACCAAGAAGATGTAGACCTACATTAGTTTGAGCATGGCGTAGCTGCGCCCGCCAGTCGCGCAAGAGCTGAAGGCATGCGACCGTTCGGCTGGCCAGGTATGGTTGTCGAGGAACCACCTTGGGACGGGGGGGAAGCTTCGCTCGCCAAGCATCATGGGTAGTCCGGAAATGCTGCACCGCGGCGTCAGCAAATGAGTGTCTGTCCGCTGTGCCAAGCAACGCGGCCCAGAAAGCGCCTCCGTGCTCCTCGGCTTCGCGAGCCGTACAAAGAGGTCGGCTAGGGCGGGACGGGCATGCCGGCCAACAAGCAAGCTGAGTCTTGACCTGCAAAGCGACATGGTCCCGCTGAGCGTTAAGAAGATCAAATCCAATGGCCTGGCCAGTGGAAGCATGACGCCACGGCCCAGGGCTAAACAGGACATGGTCTAGCCGGCGCCGCCTGCCACTGGTATGTTCCCAACTCCATGAGGCGCCATGTTGAAGGGACCTGAAGGTAGCGGGAGCCTCAAGTCCATGCTGTAAACACAACTCCAGCAGGTGCGTATCATTCCGGGAAGCCTCCGCTTCGGACAAGATGGTACCAATAAGGCACCCCCCTTCGTCCGGCGCGGTAAAGTCAGCATTCGCGTCAATGCCAATTACAAGGCCGCGCCCTGGTGGAGCTTTCCTCAGCGCATCCTTGAGCTCTGACCAGAAGACAGTAGCCTCCTTATCCGGGCGTTCGGCATGCGGGGCATGAGCCGCGCAGATTGACACTGGCAGTCGGGGGTCGCGGCATGTCACCAGCAGGATTCGTGGCGTAGAGACTAGGATCCGGCATGCCTCCAACGTGAGAGGCGGATTGACCACATCAGGTCTTATCCAAACCTCGCATCCATACTGGCCTTTATGCCCTCCGGACCTCCACGAGAGAACGCCAGCAGTGGCCCATCTGCCAGGCCGGCTGCGCGTCTCTTGCAGGCAAACAATGTCCCACCGTTGCTGGAGCACCTGCTGACAGAAGTACTGTCGACGAGCTGCATGCCCTGACGGATTGAAAGGATTAGGGTTACTATCCTTGATTGATTGGACATTGGCCGTAAGTATACTAAGAGGAAGCTGCACAGGTGGCTCGGGAGGGCCCTTCCCACAACAGTCGTCAGGTGGGGACTCCTCGACGGAGGGCTGCGCTGCGGCGTCAGCAGGCTCCCTGTCAGGCAGTTCCAGCACGATCCCCGGCACCCCACGAATCACAGTCGCACGAGGCACCATCCACAGCCATGGGCCATGTTGCGTAAAAGCATCATCGAGCTTCGGCTGCAGGTTAGGCGACCACGACGGGACGGCCGGCATCGAGTGGGCGTGCTCCGCTAAAGCGTCAACAAGTGTATTGACCATGATACCGACGTGGCTGGGAACATGCTGGTACCGGAGCTGGCATCGCGATTGAACTGCCTGCCATATTTCGCGACAGCGCCTAGCCATGGGGCTTTGGGCCGCAGCCCACCCGGCGGCAACTTGCATAGCGGAGGAGTTGTCGACGGCTACCGTGACACGTCGTATTGTGGCTCCCATGCGCACTCGCCACATGTCCACAACACAAGCCAACCACAGCCCAGCAGATTGCAATGCAGCCAACTCGCTGTGGAAGGACAACAGATGCGCGCCTGCCCGGCCGGCTTGTGAGCAACCCCATGGGAGGTGAGGGAGCCTCGCTGCAAACCAACCTAAACGGAACCAGTGTTGGCCGTGATAACACCAAACAATGAAGGCACAGGAGCCCGTCGCCGAACCACTCCCATCAGTAGAGATAAAGACTTCTTGCGGGACCCCGCCAGCCCACTGGGGGAATGCCTCCCAAGTATAGTGGTACGGCGCGGGGAGGGTCACTGGCAGGGCAGAGCGAAGTGGGTGCGAACACCAAAACGAATGGAGATCAACCTGAAGCTCACAGGCGTCCGTAAGATCGAGCATCCACTTATTAGGTCCAAGTTTCCCCCAGGACGGCGCACCCCTGGCCGCGAGGTAGCAGGTCTCAGCCGAGACGGTGCCAGTTCCTTGCAACATGCCGATCAAAGTCGGCGGTGTAGCGACGCTTGGAGGCGGCCAGAAAAACCATCCCGTGAAGCCAGGACACCCCGAACAGCTTAGGTGTAGGCTCGCAGCCCACGGCAGGAGAGCAGCGGCTGCTAAGCCGAGTCGCCCTCGGGTACTGACTAGGAGACTTAGCGGAAAAACAAAGAACGAGCACCGTCGCAGGTCCGCGTGACTGTGGTCCACAGTGAAGCTGGCGGGTTGTTGATGTATGATGTCCCCATCCCTAAGAACGGGCCACGGAGCATCTTCAGCAATGCCCAGGACAGAGATCATGTCGGCAGTGGTCTGCATCAGGCGAGCCGCCGACTCCCTTGACATCCTAGAGTTGACTGTACGGCAAACCCCCGTCAGGTGACACCCGTCGGGCTGAATCGAACATGTCTCCAAGATTACATTACTATGGAGTTGATCCTCTGCGCGACGGCACATCTGCACATTATCGGAGTATGCCCATGGGACCGGTACCCAACGGCCCGGGAACCTTCGACTGAATCGTCCGATAAACATCTGGGACGCCGCGTCCCAACGTCCGCCCGGCGGCATGGTAGTGTGCACTGAACCCCATTCTGGTGCCCAAAGAACCAAGGGGACATCACAGTTAGTGACAAAATCATGCGCCCAACAAGCGGAGGAGCGGACCTGAAGACTAGAAGAGAACGCAGGCGGCTCATACATGCTGGCGACATCATCGGTGTCGAACGCCAGCACAACATCCCCCGTGCGCCAGTCCACCGCATCATTGTTCCCATGGCCAGGGATGCAGGCAGCCAAGGGAGCCCGAATGCTCAGCAAGGGGCCTGGGGTGAGCTGTCTGAGGTGTCGGACTAGCCAGTTAAGATCAGTCCGGCCTGGTATCAGAGCCGCAAACTGCCATTCGGAGGAAACCACCATGATGACCGCCAAGGGCATGTCGCCAGTGGACGGCACAAAAGTGAGCGTCTGCTGCCAGAGCGCCGGCCATACAGGCACAATGGCCATCGACCAGGCGGGTTCACTGCTGGCTAAGTCAAGGCGGACGTCCTCGACTGTCATGTCTGGTGAGACCGCGACGGCCTCGTTGTCTAGGGCAAACGGAGACCATAGCCGAGCTGTGTAGCCGATTTCAACTGATTCATGCAACATCTGCGCACCGACAGGAATGCGCCAGGGGTACTTGCCTATCCGCACCGGAGTTACATCTCGTGCCTCATGTGGCACTCGCAACATGGCAGCAGCGCCCTGACCCAAAACTAAGACGCCAACTGCACCGGGAAAGCCCAGAGCATGGCCAAGGAACATAAGGGTTAGGGTCCAAACAACCGAGGCCCGGAGGCTGTCAGATGTCCGTATCAAGACGTCCCCATCGCGCGGGGGTCCCCGGCCGGCCTTGGATGCAACATCGGCTCGATACTGCAGCCCCACCGGGAGGGAAAAGTCCTGGCTGGTGTAAGTAACAAGCTGGCACTCCAGGCTAGGAGAGTAAAATTCTTGTTGAATGATGACACGGGCCTCGAAGCATTCAGAGTGGACCACAAAGTGGCATTGGTTATCCCCAAGATAGGGAACCGGAACCCAGGCACGGCTACCGATAGGCTGGCCTCGGAACACAAAATGGCGTCGGGCGGCCCGCCAGACACTCCCTGCGTGAATCCACTTGCGATCGCAGTGCGTATCGGGGTGGCCAGTGCTGTCCCAAACATAAACCCAGCCCGCGTACTGAACCCTAAAATCGTTCAACCACGCGCTGCGGTGAGGGAGCACCGACAGTGAAGAGAAAGTGCCCGGGGAGCGCCCCTCAAAGACGGGGTGGTCGTGGTCAAAATCGACGGAGAAGCAGTCGCCATGCCGCAGATAAAGGTGGTTCGCCGGCCATCTTTCCCACGATTTAAGGGCAGGCGGAACTTGGAGGTCGGTGCCCCATAGACCCGTTAGCCGCTGAAAAAGGGCAAGCAGCTCATTCCACGTAAATCGGCGGGGAACCAGAACTGAAATTTTGCGACCTCCAGCCGACAAAATGATCGTAACAAGCTCCCCTTCACAGGTTGGACAAAGAAGGCAATCTTCCCCGTCCCGAGCCGGGGCCACAAGGACGAACCCCTGTGCCCACGGACCGGTGGCCTGCGTGACCAGAGAGAGTAGCGAGTCCTGTGTCGTATCAGGTAAGAAGTAGCCTCGAAACCGGCCTCCCCGAAAGGGGCAAATTACTCTGTAGTCACAATGGTAACGATTGATGACGGACTGCATAGGTTGTGGGTGATCTGGTCGCCAGGAACCAAACCGAGGACTGCTACTCCTCATCCGACCTCAGGAGACGGACCGGGACCTAGTGGGCGATGGGGACCTGGCTGCACCGCCCCCGCTCACCCTTAAGCCCTGCAGAAGGACATAAAGCCACAGGGACCGCTTGCCAATGAGGGCTCCAGCCAGGCCAGCAACCGTCGGGTCTCCCAAAACATCCAAAGAGGCCCAAGGCCCTAGGGCATCGTCGGGATACATAAACGAATCCCACAGCACATCCCCATCACGCAAGAGGACGTCCTCATTAGCCTCGTGGGAGACGCCTAGTACGTGGAAGTTCTGTGGGAGTGTGTGGAAATCATCGGCACAATCACTAGCTCTAAAGGCGGTTACGGTGCTGATGCTGCGGACCCCATCGACTGAGTCATGCAGAACAGAAACAGTAGAGAGTCTGTCCGAGGCTCGCACCAAGTGGGGCAGCGAACAAGGGCACCATGTAACCGGGATCCATGTGCCGGGATAGTCCGCTGGGAAACGCCCGGTGAATGAGCCGCGTTCAGGGAGCCAGGCCTCCCCAGCAGAGATCCGGGTCAGAACGGGATGGAGAACATCAGGCAGCCACAGCCGCACAGCAACCGGAACAGAGAGCCGAATGGTGCGAGTCCAAAGCGTATGGTCCTTAAGGAGAGCACTATCCCGCAGGACGACATCCCTGGCATGGTTTTCTCTGAGCACATCAAGCACATCGCCGTCCCTCAAATGCGCAGGGGCCTGTGGCCGATCTCTCAGGCTGGCCCACAAGGCGGGGGGCAACCGAATCGCATCGAAGGGCCAACAAGTGAGGTACTGTATAACGCGGCAAAGCTCAACTACGGCCAAGCTTCTCGGGAGCAGCAGCGCTCTGCTGTGTCCTTCATAGATCGCAAAAACACATGCGAACGGCGAAGAACAGCCCAGTCCTGGCACCATAGTCAGGCAGTCCTGCCGCGGGGCCGGCCAAACTGGCATCAAAGTTCGCGGAGGCGGCAACAGCTGGGCAAATCGGTCTTGGACAAATGCCACATCCTCCGCAGAGTCAACCTGAAAAGCTCCATGCCTACCAGTCCACGGACACGCCAGAGCACATCTGCAGGGGAAACGACCAGACACATGCGTAAGGTGCCCACGGCCACCTAGAGCCCTCCAAGGGTAGGCACCCACTGCAGGCGACAGTCGAGGGACTCTGCTGCCAGGTGGAGGTGAATCACCCCTGTATCCCGCCAACCCGAGCAGAAGAAGGGGCGCAACAAGCCTGAGGCGTGGCATGGTAAACAGGCCAATCATAAGGAAACTTCCTCCATGTGGCGCTGCCTGAGACCTTGCCGGCTGTGGTGGTGGAGGCCCATATGGGCCTGTGTCGACATGGAGGCAGTCACCGTCCCGTAAACGCACGACGCGGGGACTGCCTCTACGGACCGGGTATGGCACACGCAACCGACCCGTCCGGTCCCCAAAGGGAACTTCTGTGCCGGGCCCATATACGAAGTCGCGCTCAATGCACCGCGGTCGGAGCTCCCGCCCGTTACGGAACAGGACCGACACAAAGCGTTCGTCAGCTGCGGATGGAATAAAGTGCACCCCCTGAGCGTCAGGCTGGGGCTGAACGCTCACAATCGGTTGCCAGCCCCTGCGCTCTGAGTAATCTTGAAGCACTTCCGTGAGCTGATGGGATGTGCCCACCCGCGAGGACAAGGCCGGACACTGAGTTTGGCCAGTGAACGGGTTATGGATAAAGACAGGGCAGCCTGCTGGCAGAAACGGGACAGGGCCCGGCTCCACATCGACACCTTGTAGGACTGCAGCAACCCTGCGTTGGACAGCGGGCACCTGAGCCTGAGAAAATGTCACTGTCACCGGAGCCTCAGGCCCTTCGAATGGAGCAGAGGTACGGGCTAAGCTGGATCCACTAGGCCGAAGTATGGGCATGGCGGAAGCGGTGGGAGGCTCCGACGCTGTTGGAGTGGGTGGTTGCCAATCATCCAGATCAGGAGAGCTAGGTTCAGCCGGGCCAGAGTCGGATCCCTCAGAGCCGTCAGCCAGAACTCCTGGGATTCCCTGCAGTGAGAGACTAAGGACAATCGCAAGTCTGAGGTGTCCGCCGGAGGCTATAAGACTGAGAAACGAGCCCAGCCATGCAGCATTTGGCCGGGGGCTCGCCGAGCGGTCACCAGGCTCTGCGCTGTCGGACGCACTAGCGGCCGGCACCTCCTCAGCATCAGAAGACGGCAGAACCCCCACACTTTCGAGTCGCATAGTCAAAGTGTCGAGCTGGTGGGAGATATGGCTCACTTGTCGGGCTAAGCTAGCAGCTTCGGCAGAACGTGTAAGGCCCTGGCTGTGGGCTGCACCTGGTTGCCCGCTTACCTGATCACCTTCGACCAGGGTTGGCTCGCCGCGCGGCCCCATGCAAATGTCATAGTCGAAGTGCGACACGTATGCAGGCTCAGCGGTAGATTCCCATATGTTAGCACTTACCTGAGGCACTGTCACAGCCCTGACCAGGTGAAGAATGGCTCCGTGGGGAGGCGTAACAGCAGTGCCGTAACTGATGACGCCGCTATGATATTGTATGCTGAAACTCCCCCGCGAAAAGAAGCTCTCACCGAATGCTTCATGCGCGGTCTGGCCGATAAGTCCCCAGTCCATAACACCGGGGGCGGCAGCTACCACTGTGGCTCGGGCTCTAAAGTGCAGCAACCAGAAAACCAGGGTTGGATAAGCACCCATTGGTATGTGCAGAATATGCGCAACATCTTGAACAATCCGAGGCTGGGTCCAAATGAACTCCCCCGTCGACGGCACGCCTCGCCTCGTGCATGCTACACAGTACAACAGCCGACTAGTATCCGGCACATCCTGGAAAGGAAGGGTAAGAGGGGCTTCTAGAGTATGTGTCCATATTCGCATGATAGCTGGCGCCGCTCGGACAGCTCCACCCCAAGGGTCCGTCCTCCGCCCTGTGCGCACTGCTAAGTCCTGAGCCGGTTGCATGCCCCATACCAGAGGCAGCCAGGCAAGCAAGAGCATCGAACTGGTGCAGGCGTGTGAGCGAGTAAGCTCGCGGGCAGCAGTCAGACTGCCAATAGCTATTTCCATGAGGACCAGACCTTGAGCAGTCAGGTGTCCAATGACAGTGGACATGGGGACGGCGGTGTTGCCCCTGGCTCCTTGTGGTAGTCGTCTCATGGTAGACACTTCCGGCGAGAATGTGACCGTACTAGCCTGGCCATGCGAGTTGATGGTGGCGACTAACCGATCAGGTGGTTCATACCAGGGCATAACAGGCCGCAGCAGCTCCCGCGATAAGCCATCTCTTACCAGCCACCAAACCGTGTCCCCATTGGGCACAGAAAGGATGTCGGGCGAGGTGGCATGCGTATCAAATGCCACGTAGAGCGAATGGCGATCTGGATCATGCCCAGACACAAGCAGAAACTCATCAAACTCGCTGAGTTGGCTACCTCGGTGTATATCGAAGAGAACCGGCCCCTGGAAAGGTGTCCAGAGGGAAACCCTGATGGTGGCATAAGGCGAGTGGTGGGAGAAATAGGCCAGCAGATGCCGGCTCGAGACAGCGAGGTGAGTCGTCTGACACGCGAGCTCATGACACCACCCTATATTGCAAGTTTGCGTGGCATCAAAACCTGTACCTTCTGCCTGAGCCTCTGACGGTTCGAAAGAGGCCACTGGGCTGCGCACAGAACTGGCAGAGAGGAGATATAGCAACATAAGGCTGAAGCCCGGCCGCCATCGCTGAGGTTCAGCGGCACAAACAAACAAGGACCCCCAAATTCCTAGCATCCCCGTAAGCCGCCGGCCATGGTTGGTGGCCGAAATCTCGGACTCTTCCTCTGGTGGGGGGCTGCCAGAGCCAATGTCTTTCCCACACAGATACGGGTCCGACCCCTCATGAAAGAGATGACCACATTGTCCTTCAAGCGAGGCAACATCAGCAGGCCACACCCAGACTTGGTTCTCGCCATGAATCATGGATCCAGATAAATCCCACGGGGTCATACTAGCCGCTGCCATTACTTCGTTCCAAGTAAGTGTCGCGGTGCAGGCACCTCGAACCCATTGCCCTAGCCTGAAAGCCCAAAGCTTATATCCCGGGACACACGGGATTGTGCAATAAACCCCAAAGTGAGGGCAGTCCAGGTGGTGAAGCGTTCCCGCGGGGTACATGCCGGGGGCCAGCGCGCAGCCGACCGGTCGACGGCGAACTGGGAGACCGTCCGAGTATAGCGGTGAGGCCGGCAATGGCCAGTGGCTAGGCGTGGTTTGAGTCGCGACTGACATCGTCGCTGATCCACCAAGGTACCAGTCAACGGAGGGCCCCGGCGGGTGCGTGACAAGGTCATAAAGTGCAGGTCCCGGTTCTAGCACCGGTCGCCAGCCAAAGCTGTCGGCTCGGCAATAGTCCAGGTTAAGGTGAATTTGCCGCCAAACCTCGCCCTGGCCGGACGATCGGGGTCTCAAGTCCCGTCTCGCCACACAAATTGGATTGCGCCTAAGTACATCAGCCCAGAAGACCCCTAGACCATCACTAGCGGTGGCAAGGTCAGCGCACGTCAGCGCTTCTCCGGGCACATCATCCACCGTTGTGACGAAAATCGCCCCGTACTCCGCCTCCAGATCGGTAAGGACTGCCGTGAGAGTACTGCGATCCCGACGGGGCAGACAGAAAAGTTGCACGGTGGACCCTGGTACCTGCACCTGGTATAGACCGACTCCTAGGCATCGTTGCCGGCCGAGCCACCGCGTGAGCGCAGACATAATACCTTCCTTGGTGGCCTGGGAGGGAACCCTCACTCGAATCAATCCAAGGTCTGCAGCAGACACTGCTACATCAACAACGTCGCCCGGTGGGGTCCTGACAGTCATGTCTGCAGGCAATCGGATGATGCCAGCAAGGGGCTGGGTCAAGACATCTTGACAGGCAAGGATGACATCCCCATGTCGGAGAGCTAGCGTGGGATGCGATCCGAGACGGTACTCTGAACCCGGATGCAGCTGACACATGTGGGCCAATATAGCTTGCCCTGTCCCGGCGCGAGGCACATCGATGCAATGCCACCCCAACCCAGTATCAACAACAATAGTGACAATCTGGGGCGACGTGGAGGGCGACACAAACTGCACGCTACGGGAGGCCGCCTGAGGATGCACTAGAACCGGGGTGCCGCGCGGGAGCTCGGAGGCTTGTTTAACCTTGCTGCGCAATCCTTGTGTGGTCACACTGGCAGGGAAGAACGCCCGAGAGCGAGAGGCAGGGGACCAGAGCTCAACGCAGAAAACCGACCTGTCATTCGGCTGAGAAGCCGCAAGTGGCCCACCAATGGGGCGACAGTCAGAGTGAGCATACAAAATATCTGACAATCGACGGTGAGCACCTAGTGACGCAAGGCCGGGATAGCGGGCAGGCTGTTCCTGCAGAGTGGACACAGCTTCCTGCTCACAAGTGCTCCACTCAACGTCATCACCACTGCCGGCTCGGGCCCAAGGCAAAAGCACAGCCAGAATGCACCCGAAAACACCTGAATCTGACCAACCGCCCATTAAGAGGCACATCAGACCTAGCGAATATCGGCGACCGGCACAGCCGCCCATTAAATCTCGATGGGGCACTGCGGGGATACGGTCCCTAGGTTGTTGCAGGTGCACAGCGGAGACTGAGATAGGGGCAGCAGCAGGAGTGACGACCAAGGCGATTGGTGGGTCGGCCCGGATAGCAACATTGGGGTCAACGAGAACCTCTCTATGCAGGACCCTGAATCTCCCAGCCAAGACGAGGTGCTCCACCGACTGACCAGCTATCGGCTCGCCCGAGGCGAAAACGACCGCGCGGAGTCTGCTTGCCGGGGTAGCACCTGGCTCACCTGACGTCACAACTAAACCCCCCCCCCTATAGGTCTAAAATCGAAAAGGCTCGGCTCGCCTACATCTGCATCATGCATAGCCACAAACTGGATCGGTGGCAGGCTGGCAAGAGGAGGCAGAACCCTCGAGAAGTCAGAAACTGATAGCTGCGGATTCTGGTGTTTATAGTCCGCAAGGACTGCAGAGCGCAGTGAGGTGTGCTCAGTGAAGGCCGGAGCATGGACATAGAACAGCCCATTAGGAGAGAGCACGACAGCATTGTATTCCGCAGCCGCCTGGAAGTCGGCATCAGTCGAAGTGCTGTCCCACGTGCTGAGCGCAAAGCGGTCCTGTGTGGTGGCCAGGTCAGTGGATCCTGTCAAGACTCGTAGAGCTGGAACCCGTGCCAAAGGCCAAACCTGAAAGGAGTCTCCTCTAGGCAGCAAGGTCACATAAGCTGTCGGCAGGAACCAACCATCACTAGTTCTGCACAGGAAACTCTGCGGGGCAGCTTGCACACCTGCCTGCGACAGGGCTTGTGACAGTATGTTACCACATGGTTGGTTACGAGAGGTCTCGACGACATGGATACCTCCACCAACAGGCCTAAGGTCGACCGGGACATGGATCAGGTTCCAAGGCAGGCTCCTCGGCGAGAGAACGTACTGCTCAACAGGAAAAGCATTTATCGTTTCCAGCAGGCGCCTGCAATCCCAATCCAAAGCACTAAGACCCAAAGTCATGCAAATGCCCGAGTACAGAGGTCGGCCATACACACGTTGGTCAGCATGAAGTACAGTAGGCCTATCCCTGCAACTTGGCAAAAAGACACAGATGTCACGTAGAGGGACAGGTTGGCAGGGGTCATGGATCAATGCTGGCATAGCACCTGGAAGCTGCACTGGGGCTAGATTGTCTCCGGTAGTATCCGGCACACTATCGGTATCAAATATAGGCTGCCCCTGACGAACACCTCGCTGCCAAACCTGCACACCTTGAACTGAGGGAGTGCAGACCAGCCACAGCATGCACAAGGACTTCAAGGTTCCGGGCGCTCGCGGCTTTACTACAGGCCTACCAGTCCTGGAACCAAGAGCGCTACCTATAACCGCGGCCTTAAGGCGACTGCTAACCCTCCAACGATGAACCCAAACACTAAGCATCGTCCACGCGGCCATGAGGGTCTGCCAGGCACTTCGCGACAACCTTAGAGGTCCGCCTGATCGGGGCCACTGTTGGGAGGAGGAGCGTACGGGCATGGCACCGTGAGAAGTACCTGCACATCTATGTCCTTCGCCATATCTTGAGGGACAAATCCTGAGAAGGGCCCTTTTGATTCCACGAGCAGTGCCGGATACAGCCACTCTTGCGCTGTTGCAGGCGCGTAGCTGTATGGATCTAGCAACACCCCAAGTGTGAGATGCATGCTGAGTAGCAAACCCTGGCGAATGTGCGGCAACACCTCTGGACACAGGCGCAAATGCTGCAGGGCGTCTTGCAGTACCATGTAAAGGTCTGCCATACCGGATCCATCCCCTGACGCAGTCACGGACTGTAGCAGGGACCACGCTTCCTCGGCGAGCCCTAATGCTCGCTCGCGGAGTCCTCCATCGCTGTGGAGAGGGAGCAATGTATCCTGCTGGGCGTTCTTGGCGAGTTCTCCAACCAGATCGCTGCCGTTGCTGATGGCAAAAACCGCCAACCGAAGCCAGGAGGCAAGCCATGAGGGTGGCAATGCCGAGACATCCGGGATCATCTCCTCGTCTTCTTCGATCTGTGTCTCCTGAACTCTGGAGAGGCCCTCCGGCGATCTCCCCGTCGCAGGGGCAACCCAGGGAACGGTCGCGGCGATATCCCGTCTGGGGCTTTTGGAGGGGCGCTCCGGGCGCTGTCCGCTGCGACGCTTCTGCCATCTGCCCCCAGACGTCGGTGCTGCCGCAGTAGGAACAGTAGCCGGCCGTACCAGACCCGTCCCTACTGGCAGGGCAGAACCTCAGCCAAGGAAGACCGGCGCAGTACCGAAGTGGGGGCCAGGTTCGTCCTCGCCGCCAGGCAGGGAGCCGGGTGCAGCCCCATGACTGAACGCTGCTGTGCCTCCTCGCACGGCAGGTTGCAGTGTAGGATCGCCACTTCCCGAAAGAGTGACGGCAGTCTCGTCGGCGACCGTGCCAAACGCACGAAGACAGGCCGCAATCCTGAAAAGCTCTTGCTCCTGCCCTGCTGTCCAGATGGGACCTAGAGCCGCCCTGGCTTGCTGGAGTCGCTCCGTGGTTGCCAACGAAGCCCCTGTCGTCATGGTCTCTGTCTCGCTGCAAGCTTCGATTAAATCCTCGTCCAGCTTCGAAGATAAGGCTCGAACTCGTTCCACCAGCTGGGCGAGGTGCTGCCCAATCGTCATAGCCCACTGCGAGAGCGCGGTAGTCAGCTCCTCTTTGGCTTTCATGTCGCCGACCAACCTTTTGGACAACTTCGCCAAAGCGTTGGCGTGTCTTTGGGCAAGTTGCTCGGCCGTCGGGTCCCCACTCAGGACACTCGGAGCATGCCACAGATCGTGCGTGGCCCTTGACGATATGGCCTGAAGTGCAGTCGTGAGAGCCTGCGGGTACCCGAATTCCAACTTGGTCGTCGGCGCGAGATTGTCCTTGGAAGCAGCCTTGCCTCCTCCTTTTGTCTTGGCCGCAGGCTTGGGGGCCATGTGCCCGTGGTGTGCTGCCAAGAGCAGCAGATCTGCCTCCAGCCGAAGCCCTAGACGGCAACGATGTTTGGCCCGGCACCGAGCCCTCCGCTTGTTGCGGTGCCAGGCTGGGCTGCGAGGACGCCTGAGACGCCTCGCCGTGGCCCCACCAGATCAAAGTCCAGCCAAATATATAGAGAAAAATCCACAGGGACAGCGCCGTCCCTTTCATAAACCAAAACCAGAAAGGGTCGGCCTATCTAAAGGCAGCGACCCTGGAGCACGCAGCTCACCAGGTCAGGGCCTCCAGCCCAGGGCGGCAGCAAAAAGCGTGCAGGCCGCTACGCGCAATGGCTTACGCTGGGGTTGGGAATACTACAGGGCTACCAGTCTCCGGAGAGCCAGCTAGACCTCGTAGCTCGAGCCGCAACACCTAACCCTTGAGCCAAAATGGCTACGGATAAACCCTAAACCCTAAATCCTAAACCCTAAACCCTATAACTCCTAAACCCTAAACCCTCTAACTCCTCTATAAACCCTAAACCCAAGCCTTCTGCGATTAAACCCTAAATCCTAAACCCTAAACCCCAAACCTAAAAACTCTTCTATAAGCCCTAAACCCTATCTCTGCGATGTGATCCGAGGCTTGGCCTCACCTCTCCTAGCCCAAGTGGTCGACGGCCTGCGCAACGCTCTGCCCAACGTAGGCTGGGTTTCGGGTTTCGGGGCTTGGGCTGTTAGTTCCTTTTTAAGGGGGCTTCCTTTAAGGGATCTGGGTTTCGGGTTTTGGGGCTTGGGGTTTAGGGTTTATAGGGTTTAGGGCTTATGGGGTTTAGGGCTTATAGGGTTTAGGGCTTATAGGGTTTAGGGTTCAGGGTTTGGGGTTTGGGCTGTTACTTCCTTTCTAAGGATCTGCAAAAAGTTCCTTCAAGGGATCGAAAAGGGGTTTCTTTAAGGGATCGATAAGGGCTTTCAAGGACCCTACCAAACTTCCTTTAGGGCTTCGGTGTAAGATTAAAGGGATCCTGTTACAACGATTTGAAGTCTCGGGTTGCACACTTGCCAACAGTATTCCTCGCGATTCGTTAATGTATCTACAGGCATCTGTATAAATATGACCATACAGAACACTTAAGACCCTGTAAACCTTATTCGCAGAAAGAGCATTAACGCTATGCAGGCCCCCCACACTAGACCCAAGCAACTTTTACGGCACCCTTGAAAGAAGCCCGCCCTTAAGAGCTCTTAGAACATTTAGAACCCTTCGAAGAGCCCCTGATAGCTCCTAAACCCCTAAGCCCCTAACCACTGAACCCAGGGTTTTGGGTTTAGGGTTTTGGGTTACCCTAACCCCCCTGAACCCAAGGTTCAAGGTTTAGGGTTACCCCAACCCCTGAACCCAAGGTTTAGGGTTTAGGGTTACCAAACCCCTGAACCCAAGCCCTAAACAACCCGACCCTGTTGTCCTCCAACGGGCCACCTCGGTCGGCGGTTAGGACTGCGCATCTCATAGTCGGCCTCTGCGCCTTTTCCCTCAGGGTCCAAAGAACCCAATCGTTTGGGGCTGAAGGCTAAGGGTTCAGGGCTTTGGAGGTTTGCGGTTAGGGTTCAGGGGTTTTGGGTTTGGGACAGTCGTTTTGCAGGTTGGTACCTGGGAGAGTATATGACCATGAGGTACTCGCCCCCGCCCGCCACTGACCCTGCCCTCTGCCCTGCCCCTGTCCAAGGTTTTGGGCCACAAGGCCCTGAGAAAGACGTTGTCCAAGGTTTTTCCTCGAACACAAGCCTCTAGTAGCTTAGCAAGCAAAAACAGCAAAAACCGAGCCGCTCAACATAAGTGTTTTTGGCTTAAGGGTTTAGAGTTTAGGGTTTGTTGTTGAGGCCTTTTCGGATTTCAACCCAAGTCTAGCAGCGCAGCACCCTTTCTAGGCTTTCTTTTGGTAGTGTCTATTAAGACTGAATTGGTGGTCAATAGGGTATTTCTATTTGAGGAGTTATCGCGCTACATCCTTGGAACCTTAAGACTTAACATGTCGAGGTTTTGAGATTCTCAAAAGGCCGAGGTTTTGCGTCTAGGTTAAGGATACAAGACGCGGATTGAATCAGCTACTTAGGTCCAAGTAGGGGCTACAAGTTGTATTATAAAAGCTTCAAGTAGGGATATACCAACTGTAATCTTACTTATAACCTTATTTACTAAGCCCAATGAGCCTTTAAGTACGGCGCGTAGCAATCAGTGTTTTGGTGAGGGGTTGGTTTTTTCCCCCCTCAAATCCCTCAAACCACTTTAAACCCAACGAGGGGCCTCCAAAATATTTGATTAGGCAACATCCCTTACATGGGGGATTCTTTTCTGGGAGTTAAGGAGCGGGATACTGCTTTCTTACAAGACGATAGAGTCGTGCCAGAAGAAGCCCGTGAAGATTCTTATACAACCTTGATACTGAACCATGTAAAACGCTTCCAGCAAACCCTGTAGAATCGAAGACTGAATAACACTCCCAAGACCGTACAACAAAAGCCTGTGCCAGTTGGCCAGCATCCGCTGACAGGGATCAAGGTGCCAGCCTCCATGCCTGAATTCCGTGGGAGTTTTTCTTTGGCGTATGAGAATAAAGAGTCCTTAGCAAAGCCAGAATAGGGCTTCGGGGGTCGATTATACTATACGTAAAACATGTATAACATGTTTAACATGGACTATACATGAATAGTAATATAAGGGGCCTCTATAATTATCTGTCATTTATAACAAGGACTTATTAGTAAGTAGTATCAAAACCTATTCAGGACTATAAATATATAGTAATATAAGGGCCTCTATACTTATCTGTCATTGATAACAAGGACTTATAAGTGAATAGTATCAAAACTTATTCAGGCACCCGGCGCCAGTTCACTTCGAGGTTCCCAAAGTAAGGCCCTATTTTATCCTCTTGTTGTTTGCGGACTTACGGTGTAGGGTAACAGGGTTCATGGTTTGGCGCTTAGGGCTTACGGTTTAGGGCATAGGGTTCATGGTTTAGGGCTCAGG